GTTGCTTTTGCTATCTTCCGTCACCATGAACTGTTGCCCTCTGCCATGTGCCTCTGCCTTGGAGCCAGGAGTATAACCTGAACCTCTACAAACTGTTAGCTAAGTAAACCTTTCCTTTCTTAATTTTGGGTGTTAGGTATTTTGTCCCAGCAACGAGAGAAAAGTAACCAGGACGAACCTCAAAGATAGAAACCAAGAGCTGTAAAAGGTAAGCTTTGGTTTCAGCATCTGAGTTCTCAGCCTCTAGCCTTCGCAGACTCTCCAACATTAGTTAGAAATGGGCCAACCGTACCTCGTGTTTCTTTGTGTACAAGACTTACTTGGGGTAGTGACTGCAGTTCTTTTCTTGTTCCCAAGTTTGGAAAATCCATCTGTATAGTGAGAACGTTTTTCTGAAGGTTCCTTTGAGTCTTCATTAGCTAAATGCAAAGATACAGAACTAATGAACTTTTTTCCATGAAGTTTTTTTGGTTAGTTTTGTCTTGGTTCTTTTGTTTTCTTTTCTGGTACCGGGAATCGAGCTCACGACCCCGCACTTGCCAGGCAAGCACTGTGCCACTGAGCTAAATCCCCAGCCCCTGTGTTGTTTCTTTTGAGACATGGTCTTGCTATGGAGTTTAGGCTGGTCTCGAATTCTCAGAAATCTTCATGCCTCAGCCTCCTGAGAGCTGAGATTACTGGTGTGCACCAGCATATCCAAATCATTAAGCACTATTGACCTGATAATGAAGAATTTTTAAAACTTCTCACTAAAAAACATTTGTAAACTGAGAATGGTGGTGCATGCCTGTAATCTTTGTATTCTGAGAGGCTGAAGGAGGAAGATTGTAAGTTTGAGCCCAGCCTGGAGAACATGGTGCCAAGATCTTGTCTCAAAATAAAACATGGGTTAGGGATGTAGCTCAGTTCAAGGACCTTGGGTTCAGTACCCCGTATCCGCTCATCCCAATAGACACACCAAAAAAATAAAATTAAAAAGGTTACAAGGTTTAATATTAAAAAAACCCAATTAACCTTTCATATTTCGTACATTTATATAAGAAAACTCTCTATGAAAGCACACTTAGCTGTGCCCAGTGGTGCACACCTGTAATTCTGGTAATTCATCAAGATGAAACAGCAGAATTTCAAATTCAAGGCCAGTCAGTGGAATTCAGCAAGACTCTGTCTCAAAATAAAATTTAAAAAGTACTACAAGTTGGGTGTAGTGGTGCATGCCTGTAACCCCAGCATTTGGGACAGAGAAAGAATTACTAGGAGTTCAAGGCCTGCCTAAAATACATAGTGAGACCCTGTCCCAATCAATCAATCAGTCAGCCAATCAATAAAAAGTGCTATGGCATAGCGCAATGGTAGAGTGTTTGCCTAGCATGTGTGAGTCCATGGGTTCAATCCTCACTATCACACATGGACAAAAAGAAACACAGTCATGAGGAAAGGGGCACATATACATGTCAGTCAAAGAGTTCCGGACCGCTGCCCATATGTAACACACAGTGTGTACACAAGCATCAGCAGACCAGAGAAAACGGTAAGGCAGATCCTTCCTTGGGAAATCTGAATAAGACATATATAGGAACTCTTTGGTAATCCTGCAACTTTTCTCTATGTCTGAAATTATATTACAATAAGAAGTTAATTTCTTTTTTCTTTTTGCCTTTTTGAGACAGGGTCTCGCTACGTAGTACAGGCTGGCCTCAAACTCGTGGCAATCCTCCCACCTCAACCTTCTAAGTGCTGGGATTACAGGCATGCACCACCACACCCACCTAATCATCATGGATTTGATGGAGGGTGGTGCTGGGGATTGAAGCCAGGCCCTCCTGCATGCTATATACATATTTCTATGACTAGATATACAACCCCCAGTCCTTCTAATTTAGTGCTTTATAATACTTAGAAAGCTGTATGTTAAGGATGCACAAACCTTCTGTTCACGGGCAGAGTATTTTAGGCTTTGTGGATAGCCTCTATATTTTATTTTATAATATTGTATAGTATTTTATTTTTTTGGCATCGGAAATTGAACTCAGGACCTTGAACTTGCCAGGCAGGCACTGTACCACTGAGCTAAATCCCTGGCCCCATCTCATCTTTCAAATGCTTTAAAAGTGTGAAAGAATTCTTAGCTCAAGAGACAGAAAACTAACCAAAACGGGTGAGCAGGAGTTTGTTGACCACTACTCTATGTTATTCAAATTATGTGTATAAACATTTCTAATATATAAGCATTCTAATAACTAAAAATGTACAACACTTAGTCAACACTGAATGTACCATGCATTGGTCCACCAGTACAAGCTCAAGGAGATTTACATGTCCAAAAATAGAGTCCCTTAGATTAGAAACTTAGTGCATGGTGGGCGCTGTGTCAAGTATTTCAGATATTTGTTGACAGCCTGGTACACGCTATTGGCTGTGCTAGGTAATCAGTGACAGACTCTTAATCTGTTTATCCACCTGATGAAACAGCAGTACACTCATTTCTACTTCACTCTGAGGAAGTTGGTTTATTGAGAATAAGTTGCCTAACACCTTGTTACGGTGTCTGGATGTCCCCCCCAAAGCTTCATGCTGTCATGGGGCGGGTTTTTAGAGTTTATGATTGACTCATGGTCCAATGTTGGGCTTATGGGTGTGAGTGCTACACTGGGTAGTTTGCATACAATGTTTTTTTTTTTCTTTTTGTCTTTTTTTGAGACAGGGTTTCACTATGCAGTTCAAACTGGCCTTGAACTCACTTATGAGGCCCAGGCTGGCCTCGAGCTCACAATGATCCTCCTACCTCAGCCTCCGAAGTGCTGGGATTACAGGCATGAGCCACCACACCCGGCTAGTTTGCATACAGTGTAAGGGAGGGAAAGAGGCTGCTTGCTGCTGCTCCTCCCTTTTGCTCTTGTTGCTTTTGCTATCTTCCGTCACCATGAACTGTTGCCCTCTGCCATGTGCCTCTGCCTTGGAGCCAGGAGTATAACCTGAACCTCTACAAACTGTTAGCTAAGTAAACCTTTCCTTTCTTAATTTTGGGTGTTAGGTATTTTGTCCCAGCAACGAGAGAAAAGTAACCAGGACGAACCTCAAAGATAGAAACCAAGAGCTGTAAAAGGTAAGCTTTGGTTTCAGCATCTGAGTTCTCAGCCTCTAGCCTTCGCAGACTCTCCAACATTAGTTAGAAATGGGCCAACCGTACCTCGTGTTTCTTTGTGTACAAGACTTACTTGGGGTAGTGACTGCAGTTCTTTTCTTGTTCCCAAGTTTGGAAAATCCATCTGTATAGTGAGAACGTTTTTCTGAAGGTTCCTTTGAGTCTTCATTAGCTAAATGCAAAGATACAGAACTAATGAACTTTTTTCCATGAAGTTTTTTTGGTTAGTTTTGTCTTGGTTCTTTTGTTTTCTTTTCTGGTACCGGGAATCGAGCTCACGACCCCGCACTTGCCAGGCAAGCACTGTGCCACTGAGCTAAATCCCCAGCCCCTGTGTTGTTTCTTTTGAGACATGGTCTTGCTATGGAGTTTAGGCTGGTCTCGAATTCTCAGAAATCTTCATGCCTCAGCCTCCTGAGAGCTGAGATTACTGGTGTGCACCAGCATATCCAAATCATTAAGCACTATTGACCTGATAATGAAGAATTTTTAAAACTTCTCACTAAAAAACATTTGTAAACTGAGAATGGTGGTGCATGCCTGTAATCTTTGTATTCTGAGAGGCTGAAGGAGGAAGATTGTAAGTTTGAGCCCAGCCTGGAGAACATGGTGCCAAGATCTTGTCTCAAAATAAAACATGGGTTAGGGATGTAGCTCAGTTCAAGGACCTTGGGTTCAGTACCCCGTATCCGCTCATCCCAATAGACACACCAAAAAAATAAAATTAAAAAGGTTACAAGGTTTAATATTAAAAAAACCCAATTAACCTTTCATATTTCGTACATTTATATAAGAAAACTCTCTATGAAAGCACACTTAGCTGTGCCCAGTGGTGCACACCTGTAATTCTGGTAATTCATCAAGATGAAACAGCAGAATTTCAAATTCAAGGCCAGTCAGTGGAATTCAGCAAGACTCTGTCTCAAAATAAAATTTAAAAAGTACTACAAGTTGGGTGTAGTGGTGCATGCCTGTAACCCCAGCATTTGGGACAGAGAAAGAATTACTAGGAGTTCAAGGCCTGCCTAAAATACATAGTGAGACCCTGTCCCAATCAATCAATCAGTCAGCCAATCAATAAAAAGTGCTATGGCATAGCGCAATGGTAGAGTGTTTGCCTAGCATGTGTGAGTCCATGGGTTCAATCCTCACTATCACACATGGACAAAAAGAAACACAGTCATGAGGAAAGGGGCACATATACATGTCAGTCAAAGAGTTCCGGACCGCTGCCCATATGTAACACACAGTGTGTACACAAGCATCAGCAGACCAGAGAAAACGGTAAGGCAGATCCTTCCTTGGGAAATCTGAATAAGACATATATAGGAACTCTTTGGTAATCCTGCAACTTTTCTCTATGTCTGAAATTATATTACAATAAGAAGTTAATTTCTTTTTTCTTTTTGCCTTTTTGAGACAGGGTCTCGCTATGCAGTTCAGGCTGGCCTTGAGCTTACTTTGTAGCCAAGGCTGGCCTCAAATTCGCAATGATCCTCCTGCCTCAGCCTACCGAGTGTGGGATTACAGGTGTGCACTACCACATCTGGCTAAGAAGTTAGTTGCTTAATCTTCCAAACTGCCTGTGTCTCAACAGATGAACCTGACCGGCCCATCCTCCTTTTATCCAGGAAAGACAAACCAAGTTCTAGAGATCCTCACTGTTAACTCTCATATTTCATCTTGCTTTAAATTGCCATTTAAAAATACTTCTATGCTAGGCATGGTGGTGCATGCCTGAAATCCCAGCACTCTGACAAGCTGAGGCAGGAGGATCACAAGTTCAAGCATAGCCTGGGCTCTTTAGTGACTGAGACCCTGTCTCAAAATTTAAAAATAAAAAAGGGCTTGGGATGTAGCTCAGTGCAAAGGTCATGGGTTCCCTCTGTGGGTTCCCATGGGTTCCCACACACACACACACACACACACACCATTGGGACACATGAATCGAAATGCCGTATGGAAGCTTGTTAAAAACAAATTAGGCTGCGGTGTGGCACAGAGGTAGATAGCATACTAAGTGTGTGGCTGGCCCTGGGTTCCATCCCTAGATTCCCCAAACAACTTCTCCAGCCAAAAGAGAAGAAAAGCAAACTAACTCAGCATATTTCCATGCTCTGCAGTTGACTAGAGGGACAAAAATGAGAGCTCTCCGGCCACCACAGAGATTAATGTTACTATGCTTTCTGCCACCACTGTTTGTCTTCCTCTTTTTTCTGACACAAAGCCTCTCTGTGCAGTCTAGGCTGACCTTGAATACCCATTGGTGACAGAGGGAGGGATCAGAGCCATGTGCTGCAGGCCAAGGAACACCAGCTAGCCACAGCCCCACTAAGCAGGAAGAGGTGAGGAAGGTACCAGGGTCTCAGAGAAACATGGCTCTGTTACCACCTTCTTTCGGACTTCCGGCCCCCTGAATTATGAGACAATCAGTCTCTGTTGTTCTAAGCTGCCCAGTTTGTGATGCTTCATTACAGAAGGAAATTAGGCACAAGGATACCCTGGCGATTTTTTTGTTGTTGTCCTTTTGAGACAGGGTCTCACTATGCAGTTCAGGCTTGTCTTGAACTTATTATGTAGCCCAGGCTGGTGTCGAACTCTTGGTGATCCTCCTGCCTCAGCCTCCTGAGTGCTTGGATTACAGGCGCGTAACCCCACACCTGGCCTGACGTATACTGTAAAAGGTCTTTGGTCTTTCTGAGATAGGCTTTCACTATATAGTTCAGGCCGGCTTGAACTTACTTTGTAGCCCAGGCTGGCCTCAAACTTGCAGCAATTCTCCTGTCTCAGCCTCCCAAGTGCTGGGATGACAAGCATGTACCACCACGACCGGCTTGCCCTAGCAGTTTTGTAGTCTTGGCATACCATTTATTTCAGCTTTTCCTGAGGAAACTGCATACTCTTCTCCAAGGCTCTTGTCTGGTAGAGAAGAGATTTTTCCAGTAGTTCCAAGATCCCAGTTTTCCTGGTCTTCTTGATTCTGCAACTCGGTGAAATGACTCAGGCTTATCTCAGAATGATCCTGCAACAAATTTACAAAGGAAAAAGGTAATTTAAAAGAAGAATAAGGGGGCTGGGGATTTAGCTCAGCGGCAAAGCACCTGCCTGGCAAGCACAAGGTCGTGAGTTTGGTTCCGGTACCGGAGAAAAACCAATAAATAAATAAATAAATAAATAAAAGAAGAAAAAGAAATAATCACTACCTTCTAAAGATAGGTACCAAAAAACAAAAACAAACAAACAAACAAGATAGATACCAAATAAGGAGGAAAAAGTGGTTAAAAGAAGAAAAATAAGAGAGTAAGACTTCAGAGTGGTGGACTTGGTTCTCTGCCTCACCCAGTGTCATAAGTATGTGAATCTGGGAAAGGAACATACTAGGCACCACTGGAAGGAAGGGAAAGATTACTTCCCTTGCCTATGATGTAAGACCCAGGTAGTCTGCTGACCAAGGGGTCATGTGAAACATCAAAATAAGATAGGAGGGGCTGGGGATTTAGCTCAGCGGCAAAGCGCCTGCCTGGCAAGCGCAAGGTCGTGAGTTCGGTTCCCGGTACCGGAGAAAAACCAAAACAAAACAAAAAAACAAAACAAACAAAAAAAAAAACAACACAAAATAAGATAGGACTGTGCCTTGCATTACAGAGACTGCCCAAAATCAAGTAAAGAAGCTCATGGCCACATTACTATGCTGTTGAAATATGAAGAACTGGGCCAGGGACAAGATATAGAAAAAGGAGAACTTTTTATTTTTGAGACAAGAGTCTGGCTATGCAGTCCAGGCTGGCCTCAGAATTACAGCAATCCTCCTGCCTCAGCCTCCCACGTGCTGTGATTACAGGTGTGCACCACCATGACGGGCACAGAGAGAATTTTAAAACCATACTTCTGCAAATGGGAAGGGGATACAGACATGGAGGGAGGGGAAAGGAAGGGGAATAAAAAAAAGAAGACATGTTGAGTACATGTATGTGACTATTCCCTAAAATGAATGTAAACATACTGCAAACATGCACTAATAAAAATAAAAAATAAAAAACATTCTCTGTTGGTTTCTTTCCTTATTTACTTCACCTCTCTCTGGTGAACACTTAATGAACATCCACATTTACTGCACAAATATTTAATTTACACTAAATACTTAGTCATTCTGACCAAGTGCCAAGGCCTGAGACAGTAATCAGGCAGCTATCGCAGCGCACAGTACTCTCCAACCTCCCAGCGTCACAAGGGAATCAGGAAGCAAAGCCAGCTAAGAAGGTGCCTGTGTAGGCACAGGCTGTACATCCGGTTCACCTGGGAGACAGGGTCCCTGTGGACTGTCTTGCGCCGCCTCCTTGTTTTGGTGATATGGTCCACTGGCTCCTTCTCGGCTTGTTCCCCGCTGGTAATCTGTGCCTCAGTCTCATCACAGGAGGATGCAAAAGCTTGACTTTCATCCTTGAAAAGAGAGAAATGAATCTGCCATGTCCTATATAGTTACGATGCTCAGAATCAGAATTTAAACAGAATAAAGAATATTACAAGCTGGATGTGGCAGTACAGTCAGTAATGCCAGCACTCTGGAAGGCTGAAGCAGGAGGATTACAAATCCAAGCACAGCCTGGGCAATTTAGTATATTAGGGAGAACTTCAGTCAAAATAAAAAAAATAAAAAAGGGGCTGGGGATTTAGCTCAGCAGCACAGTGCCTGCCTGGCAAGCGCAAGGTCGTGAGTTCCAAAATAAAAAAAAAAGAGCTAGTGACTGGCAGAGATCACTGAGACTGCTCTGAGCAGGATTTAAAGTTGAGCAGTTGGCTTCCCATGTTTACTTGTGAGTCTGTCCCAGGCCTTGGCCCCTTGTCTGGAGATGGGCAGCAGACTCACAGTAAGTGAACCTCTGTGAGTCACTGGTCCCAGCCGAGGCCTATAATGGCAGGTGAAGCTATGATGCCTCAAAGGACAAGACAAGGCCACAGCTAAGGACCCCTGGCTCCAACCTTGATTAACTAGATAAAAAGACTGTAGCTGCAGGCATCTCACTCCTGGGTGGAGACCTTCCTGGAGTTAACATAGCTCTCCTAAATTAACATAATGTCTTACTTGGAGAAGTCTTTCTCAGATTTGGCCTTTCTTCAGTATCTCCTCTCTTGTTGGGATACTTAAATAAATACAGGCGCCCAGAGAAGATCTTGGTCTTAGCCTCCAGAGAATCTCGAATTCTGTTAGAGGGTTCTGGTCTTCGCGGAGCCCTAAAATCCTACCACTTGACTCATTTATTTAAGCCTTTGCCATACACTCTTTTTGGAGATTGCGGGCCTGATCAGTCTGTAATAACTAAGGGATAATATTAACGTGTTCAGGGACATAGCTCAGTGTGAAAGTCTCAGGTTCAATCCTACAAAGACACTTTTTACAAAAATTTTTATTTATTTATTTATTTATTTATTTAGGTCTTTTTGAGACAGGATCTTGCTCTACAGTTCAGGCTGGCCTTGAGCTCACTTTATAGTCCAGGCTAGTCTCGAACTCGCAATGATCCTCCTGCCTCAGCCTCCCGAGTGCTGGGATTACAGGCATATGCCACCATGCCTGGCTCCAAAGTCACTTTTAAATGACTTACTATCCCTATCCCTTCCCCACCACAGCTCAGGTCCTAGGCCAATTATTGGACAGGTTCTACAGCTAGTTTCAACACCAATGACTCCAGTCTCTGAGCCATCATATTTTAATCCCATGTACCTGCTCGGTATGTCAGCCTGGGTGTCTGAGAATGGCCGGGGAGCGGTGTGTGCGCTTCTGAAGGGAGCTACGTGCCTTCTGACGGACTTGTCTGAGTCTGGGGACTGCAGAGTCACACACGGCTCACAGGAGGGAGTGCCCAGCACGCAGTAACCCACATGCAGAAAGGTTCTAACTCGTGGATGTAGGGCCAGTGTGCAGTGAGCAGCCTCCATGCACCAGTGTGACTCACTCAAACAAGCCAGGGCCGTGTACTCCCTGGGCAATGATTTGGGATCCATAAGCTTTTATGCATCTATCCTGAATAAGATTAATGATGTCTTTGCCGTGTATTTGGACTTTACTAACTTATTTTTGTATCCCTAAATTAATTCTTGATTTACCCAAGAGTTTTCTATATCAGGTCACCCATCTAAGACCATTACCAGATTTGCCACTTAGGAATCCTACATCTGAAGGAACTTTTACTACTACTCTGCTCAAAATGAAATAGCTCCAGATGTTGAATTTCAAATAATACATCATTTGAAGTTTAATCTAACTATTACTCCCCAATGTAAAATCTTTTGTTTGTTTTTGTAGTGCTGGAGATCTAACCAAGCGCCTTCTACATGCTACCTCGAACTGTATCCCCAACCCCTAAAGTAAAATCTTGATTTCAGATGGCACTATAGTCATGAATCCTTAGCTACTGTGGAGGAGGAAGATGGGTAATAGTTTTAATTCATATAGTGCCTCATCCAGTACATCTCTTGAAACTCCAGAGGGAGGATGGCAGGGGAAAAAGACAGGAATCAATAAAAGCTGAGGTCAGGTGGAGCCCTTTCTCCTGATCGGAGAAAGGAACTACCCAGGACCTGCAGTACAGTGTGTTTATTATTTATACAATCAGCATAAGAATAAGTTCACAGAGAGTTTAAGGGAAGAGTAGGATCTAGGACAGGAAGAATATCTAATCTTCAGTAGAACAGCATGCCTTGGTGGTTTCATGGCAAACAAGGGAGTAAATGTCTATATTATCTCAAGTGAAGGGCTACTCACTATGTGCATCAGCTCCCTTAGCTGTGCACACTTCTCAAGAGGCCTTGCCAAACCCATGAGAAGCAGTGGCCTTGTCCTAGATACCCAAAATACAGACAGCTTGGCCCCCAACAATACAGAAATTTTTTATTTATTTATTTATTTTTTGTCTTTTTGAGACAGGGTCTCACTATGCAGTTCAGACTGCCCTTGAGCTCACTTTGTAGCCCAGGCTGGTCTCAAATTCACAATGATCCTCCTGCCTCAGCCTCCCGAGTACTGGGATTACAGGCCTGAGCCACCACACAGGGCAGAAATTTTTTAAAACTAGATTTTTTTTTTTTTTACTTTTTTTGAGATAGGGTCTTGCTTTGTAGTTCAGGCTGGCCTCGAACTTACTATGTAGCCCAGGCTGGCCTCAAATTTACAGCAAGCCTCCTGCCTCAACCTCCCAAGTGCTGAGATTACAAGTGTGCACCACCACGCTCAGCTAAAAGTAGATTTTTTGGTAGGGCTAGGAATTGAACTCAGGGCTTTTTGCATGCTAGGAAGTAGTCCATCATTGAGCTATATGCTCAGCGCTTAAGAAGTAATTTTGAATTCCAACTCTACCAATTCCAGTGGTAGAGTTCTTGCTTAGCATGCACAAGACCCCAGGTTTGATCCTCAGCACTGAAAATATGAAGTATTTATTTATTTGGCAGCACCAGGGATCGAACGCAAGGCCTTACCTATGCTAGGCAAGTGCTCTACCACAAAGTTTTGAAATGTCTATAGAGTGGAATATAGAGCTACAGAGATTGCAAAGACAGGATGAAGTTTGATTTTCAGCTCACATTTATATTTACCTTCATTTCCAGATATATAACTGATCTCTCCAACACCCCAAAGTTCTCAAGGGCTTTCAACATTTTCCTCAATTTCAAGTCAGGAGTCTTGCACACTGCTCCATCTACGTGTCACGCTTTTTGTCTAGTCTGTGGTGTGGGTCTCAAGCAGCCACGATAACCCTGGATTCTTGATTCAGCAGAGCACATATGATTTCCATTTTGAAAAAGGCAATTTGAGTTTTCCGAGGTCAAGTAAAGACAGCAGCCAGGGTCTGACTTCAAATCCAATTCCCTCCCTACTGAATCACGGCATCTCTCACTTTTGGCATCTAGTACATAACTTGTGCACCTGTGTAAGGATGTCTTCCGCTACAAGCAGTCTCACCATGTGTAACACATAATTATCAAAAGATTAAGTTCTATGCAGTCACCAGTAATGATCTGTTTGGTAATAAGCAGCATGTCTTGATTTAAATCATCACTAATTGCTATTAATAGTTCATTAACCAAACATGATTGTTTTACTATATATTACTCACCTTACATGCCTATATTTGTATATCTGAGTAACCAGTTTGAACATATCAATATATAATACAGCCACCATTACTAATTTCCTATCACCTTATCTGAAGATATGTATCACCTGTATTGTTTTTGTGTTATTTTATAAATGTCTGTGTGTCAGTTAATGTTTTCTTTCCTTTATCTTTAAAATAAAAAAAAATTACCTGATTCTTATTTTCCTGTTGTGCTTCCTGTTTAAGGTGGGTTTTCAAAGCCTTTAACAGCTTGTTTGCCTGTAAAATAGACCTTATCATTAGAACTAAAGTCCAGCAATAAGAAAGATGTGTTAACATATTTTGAGGGGTTGGGGATTTAGCTCAGCGGCACAGCACCTGCCTGGCAAGCGCAAGGTCGTGAGTTTGGTTCCCGGTACTGGAAAAAAAACAACAAAAAAAACCATATTTTGTTGAGTGCTGGGATTACAGGACTATGTCACCCCACCCATCTGTCTCCAAAGTTAGTATGTTTTTCTCTAAATCAAGATCAAACCAAATTTCTTGCATTACAGTTAGGATAGTCTGGATTTTATTTTATTTATTAATTTAATTAATTTAATTTTTGCAGCACTAGGGATTGAATTCAGGACCTAGCACCAAACCGTATCCTCAGTCTTTTTTATTTTGGGAAAGGGTGTCCCTAAATTGCCCAGACTGGCCTGGAATTTGCAATCATCCTGATTCAGAATTTGAACAGGTGGAGTTACAGATGTGTGTTACGCTGCATGGCCGGATTTTATTTTAGATGTGAGGGCAGTCACTATAGGATACCAAGTAGAAAAATTACTTGTTCTAAGCTCCAAAAAGAGGCCAAGGATATAGCTCAGTGGCACAAGCATCTGCCTGGCAAGCACAAGGCCCTGAGTTAGATTCCTAGCACAAAAAAACCCCAAAACAACAACAAAACTAAGCTCCAAAAAAGCCCTCAACTACCAAGAGCCTACTACCGTGTGTTTGTGCACAAGGCTGCAGGTGCAGCAGGGCACCTGGGTCATCATCAGTAGAGAGTGCTGTGGCAGAAACTGCAGTGCTAGCTGCAAGTGTTTGGAACTGACTGTGCTGTAGAAGATACTCCTTAAGATGGGAGTCAGCAGCTCTGGGAGACATGGATTTGGGCTTTTTTTTTTTTTTTCGTTTTTCTTTTTTCACACCAGGAATTGAACTCAGGGCCTTGTGCTTGCTAGGCAGGTGCTGCAACACTGACCTACAACCTCGGCCTGAGACATGGATTTGGGAGGCCTTAGCTGCTAGAAGAATTTAGTTACGGAAGTAGATAAAATCAAGGGAGGAAAAAACAACACAAAACAAGAGAGGACACAGGAAAAAAAGGCCGGGGAGAGAACCCTGCATTTAGAGGTTTATAGCAGAAAATCCAGTCAATACTACTAGGAAAAGAACACAGGAGAAAATGAAAAATTTAAGGAGTGTGGGAAAGGAGGCGGCTGGAGCAGATGGGAATGCTGTCATGCCAAACGCTGCGGGCCGGAGGTGGGTTAGGGTTAGGGTTAGTGTGGACCTTGTACCACGCTGGCCTTCATATGATGGATTTCAATAAAAAAGAGCCCAGAATGGGGCAATCAGTGGGAGCAGGGCATAACTGTACATAGCATGGCAATGACCCAGCAGAGTAGGGAAGTGGCCCAGCAGGTATTTTCCCAGAGAAAGACAAAGCTGGTATCCTCAGCTTAAGTAGAGAGGTTTCCCACAGATATAGCCTTTTCCTATGAAGGGAGGGCAGACCACACTGGTGCAGGGTGGCTGGAGGGTTTGGTGGTGGAAAGATGAGGTAATTCTCGGCTGACTGCATCTCTTTTCCCATGACCTATGATGAAAAATCAACTGGGGGGCTGGGGATTTAGCTCAGCGGCAAAGAGCCTGCCTGGCAAGCGCAAGGTCGTGAGTTCGGTTCCCGGTACCGGAGAAAAACAAAAATAAAAAAAAAAGAAAAAAAAAAAAAGAAAAATCAACTGGGCAGGAACCAGTTTCAGGGAGAAAATAGGAAATAATTTTTTTCAAAAGTAAGAAAGTTATGGTGTCCTCCCAGGTACTTGGGAGACTGAGGCAGGATGATCACAAGTTTGAAGCCAGCCTAGAAAACTCACAAAACCCTACAATGTGCCAGATACTGTGACAAAAAAATTCCCTGCCTCTAAGAAAATAGTAATTAATTGGACAAGAAATGCCTCAAGATGCCTCAAGAAATGCCTCAAGAAATACTGATGGTAGGGGCTGGGGATTTAGCTCAGCGGCAAAAGCGCCTGCCTGGCAAGCGCAAGTTCGTGAGTTCGGTTCCCGGTACCGGAGAAAAACCAAAAAAAAAAAAAAGAAATACTGATGGTAGAACTTTCAGAAAAAGATCTAATTTGTGGGAGTCCTTCAGTGATCCCATAATTGTGAGGCCTTATTGCTAGGGAGAGCTCTGAACTCAGGTGAGAAGCCTCCTATACACATTTCTTTCTTTTTTGGGGACAGTGTTGTTTCACTATGTGGCCCATGTTGGCCTCCAACTCCTGCCAAGGCTTCCTGAGTGCTGGGATAGTCACATAAATTTTCTTGCCAACCAAATGATCTTCTGATGTACTATTCTAGTACTATATATTTCTAAATAATTACCCAGATCTCCCACATAAAATGTATAGCATTTAGTGCTATACAGACTTCCAAGGTGGGTGGATGAAATCACAAAGAAAGGAAATTAACTATATGTCCACATGCATGTGGAATAACCAGATTGCAAGGTGGAATCCAACAAATCCTCAAAGAAAAACACTTGAAAACACTAAAAAGCATAGAAAGTTTCTCAGGTTCCGGCAGTGATAGATCTGTAGCCAAGGGAACAAAGAGGAGGGGACAAGGTGTCAAATCAGTGACTTTTCAGTTAGATCCTGAAGGACAGGTGGAAAGTATGCATGTAGATGAAGCAGGAGACAGAAGGGAAAAGGGTCAAAATAGAAAATACCACAGATGGGCACAAGTGCTGCTGTGTGTGTGTGTGTGTCGTGCAGAATTTGATAAAAGACAACTAAACAGTAAAAAGGTATGGCACCTAACCTAAGGAATTAAGGTTTTATTCATAAAGTACACAGGAGCCATTAAACACAATAGTCCAGCAGGGCAAGTTGGACCATACCTGTAATCCCAGCACTTTGGGAGGCTGAGGAAAGAGGATCCCCAGCTGGGCAGTTTAGTGACTTAGACTGTCTCTAACAGTAACAATAATAATAATGATATAATAATAAAGGGCTTGGGAAGTAGCTCAGTATGAAGGGCCAGAATTCAATCCTCAATAACAAAGAAAAAGACATCAAAAAATACTGTAGTCCAGAAAGGACACGCCTTTATCATTCAGACAGACCCAAGAGGTGCCTGGGCCCTGATTCTTTTTTTTTTTGGTGGGGGAGGTTTCTGGTACCGGGAATCGAACTCACGACCTCAAGCTTGCCAGGCAGGCGCTGTGCCGCTGAGCTAAATCCCCAGCCCGAGCCCTGATTCTTTTGTTAAACCATTTAAAAACATTCTCGGTGACCGATTAAATGCGAACAGCACAGCTTCCAGTGCAAATCTTTGGAATATAATACATTAGTATTATGTGGGAAATCTCAACTACAATATATAAAACCATTCTGAATTCCCACATTGGGCAGGGGATGTAGTTCAGTGGCACAGCGCCTGCTTGGCAAAAGCAAGGTCCTGAGTTCGATTCCCGGTACCCCTCACCCTCCAAAAAGTAACCTATATTGAATTCCCACATTTCCCCCCAACACCTTGCAAATTTACCCTGTCTGACGCACAACACCGCAGCAGTGATAAAGAAATGAATTTCTTCTACTAGACCAGGTTGAATTATCAACTTATCTACACACCTGATCCTCTAATAGCCAAAGTATCAAGCGATTCTGGGCACTGGTCACAATTCACAGAACTCCTACAGTTCGTAGTTTTCCAAAGCCGAGACAATCATTTCCTCAGCCGTCTCACAAACGCATTCGGGCAGCATCCCGGCGCTTTCCGGGCCTGTTTTCTAATTGATGACTTGGGAAGCAACAGAGCGTTTCCAATAAAACCAAACCAACCCTTCTGGATTGAGGATCCAGAAACATCGGCCACACGTTAGGGTGACAATGATGGCTCCTCTCCAGTTCCAAAGAGTCCTAACTACCACGAGCCGCAGCCACCGCCCAACGGCACCCACACCTGCACCTACCCTCAGGTTAGCCCGGAGGCCCAGCCTCTTGGCCAAATTCTGTAAGTCGCTGTATTTCAAGGAGCCTAGCTCCTCCGCGGAGGGCACGGTCATCATGTTCTGGCACTCCAGACGACACAGAGGATCAGCACACTGGCCTGAAGGGCGGCGTTCAAAACTCTGGCGCCACAGGGTGCGTAAATCCAGCGAAACTTTATAACCAGTTTAAATGAAGGATGCTGCAATTTCATTGGTTAAAAATGACTCAAAGGCGGGGTTTCCGACGTTGACCAATAGAAAGGATGGCGTCCCGCCCCAGAGGACTGAGTTTTCCCCTACCCACCCACTCACTCACCATCACTACGCAGGCGCCGAAAGGAATAAGGGTGGTCTAGGAAGACAGCGCGGGAACGCCTATGGTTTCTGTTGGCCAATGAGGATCCAAGAGGCGCGGGCTCAAGTGCAAATTTGAAACACCGGCGTGCACAGCCTGGAAAATGGCGGCTCAGCCGCAGAGGCGTTGCTTGCTTTTTACGGCGCAGTCCGGGGGCAACTTTCGCGATGCTGCCAAGGAGACGATTGGCGAGCCATGCCTGACGACCTCCATGGAGTGGGACACGCAGGTGGTGGAGGGGTCCTCGCCGATCGGCCCCACGGGGCTGAGGCCGGGCGAGCAACCCATCGGCCCGAGACTGCCGTCGTGGCTGCAGCCCGAGAGGTGCGCCGTGTTCCAGTGCGCGCAGTGCCGCGCCGTAATCGGCGACTCGGTGCACCTCTCTTGGAACCTGTCGCGGACCCTCGGGGCCGTGGTCTTCTCCAGTGAGTGGGCAGCGCTGGGGAGATGGAGGCGGGGCGCCCGCTGGCGGGGAACTAGCTGGGCGAGAAGACGAGATGCGGGTTCGGAAGATCAAATTTTGCCCAGGGAAAGGAGGGAAATGTTTTGGTTTGGTTTTTGCTTGTTTTCTGTATCGGGAATCGAACCCGGAGCCTCGCGAGCTCTGGGCTAGCGCTATAGCGGAGCTACGCCGCTTTTTCTTCATTTTCATTGCCCGGAGAATCTGTCTAAGCGGGAGGTTTTCCTTTTGAAGAGCCTTAGAATTACATATTTGACCCCTGTTTATCTCCCTAGAAGTCACAAAAAACGTCGTATTGGAAGACCCTTTTCTGGTTGGCATCGAGGGTTTGCTTAAGTGCAGGTACTGTACTTGTCAAGAACTCGATGGGAAACGGCTTGTTAACGGTGTTGCAATAGAAGAAAACTTTATGGCTGACATAAAATGTGCTTGAATAATAGGCTGCGTCTTTAACCTGTTTAACTCTTGTACTTGCTGCATTAATGAGACAAAAATGTTAAATTTGTATTCCCCTGTGTCCCTGAAAGTAAGTCCTAAACGGAAAATAATCTACCTGGAAAACTAGGGATCAAAGATGCCAGCCTTCCCCATTTTACAGAGCACCCACTGAGCAAGAGAATGGTAATGGCATTTGAAAATAACCTCCTTACCCTGAGCTTCCACTGTGCTCAATGGAATGTTTACTTAAATGGAATTTTCCTTATATTGATGATAAGTAAAGTATATTCTTTTTTAATTGTTACGGCAAGTTCAAACAAGAGAAGAGTATCATGAAACTGTACACTATAGCTAAACTAGGACATTTATCAATTTATGGCCAATCTTGTTTCATCTATAGTCATACTTTACCCCTGTGTTTTGAAGCAGATAAGTTAAATCATTCCATTCATAAGTAATTTTTGCGAGAATCTATCACATAGAAACTTTTTCTTTTTGAAAGAGATAACCCAATTGGGCATGGTGGCACACACCTGAGATCCCAGCACTTTTGGAAGTTGAGACAGGAGACTGAAAGTTTGAGCCCGCTCCAGGGAACTCAGTGTCTTACTGAGACCCTGTCTCAAATTAGAAACTAAAAAAAACGGGATGGGAATATTGCTCATTGTGAAGGCCCTGGGTTCAATCCCCAGTTCCTCAAAGAATAAACAAAACAAAAAACACCCTTATCTAGTTGGCCTTCCTCTACAGATGAGGAAGTGGAGACCCAGGGCGTATTGAAGTACTTCTACTCCGGTTAAATCCTCCAGCATCCATGACCCAGTGCACTAATGGAAGTGCCAGTCAGCCGAAAATGCTCATCCTTCAGGGTCCAGCGAGGCAACCAGAACACCTCAGCAAGGACTGTCAGGGACTTACTATCTGCTGTGCTAAATTAGTTAACAAAGAGGAAGCCCTGATTAGAGGCATACAAGTGATCAGAGGCAGACTGGGGAAATATTTTTTCTCATAAACTGTATAGTTCTATAGCCACAGATATTATTGTACTCTCAAAATTTATCATCCTTTTCCTTATTGTGCACTAAAATATTTATTTTATAGTGTTTATAAGCGTAATGTTGCATCTTCTGGACATTTTTCCTCTGTGCCTTACATTAGTTTCTTTTTTTGGGGGGTGGTCTTTTTGAGACAGGGTTTCACTATGCAGTTCAGGATGGCCTTGAACTCACTTTGTAGACCAAGCTGGCCTCAAACTTGCAGTGATCTCCTGCCTCAGCCTCCCAAGTGCTGGGATTACAGGCATGCACCACCACACTGGCTCTACCTTAGTTTCTACTGAGAAACTTTTCTATAGGTACTATTCTTTGAACTAATTAATGTAATGGCTTGGGGGCTGGGGATTTAGCTCAGCGGCAAAGCGCCTGCCTGGCAAGTGCAAGGTCATGAGTTCGGTTCCCGGTACCAGAGAAAAACCAAAAAAAAAAAAAATGTAATGGCTTGCTTTTTGATTACCCATAATAAAAATATGAAAAATACAGTACAACATATGTCATGTGGAACTTCATTTACCAATAAATTTAGTGTTTTTTTTGCTTGTTCTTTTGTAATTTCCAGGAACATGAATATATTTCTTTTAAGCTGTGAACTTTATAGTATTTATTTATTATTGTGTTTTTGAAACAGTGTCTCACTACACAGTTCAGGCTGGTCTTGAGCTCACTTTGTAGCCCAGGCTGATCTCGAACTTGCAACGATCCTCCTGCCTCAGCCTCCCGAGTGCTGGGGTTAGAGGTGTGCACCACCACGCCCAGCTTTTTTTTTTTTTTTTAACAGTACTAGGGATTGAACCAAGCATCTCCAACTCTTTTTCGATGTTTTGAGACAGGGTCTCGAGAATTAGCCCCAGCTGGCCTTGAACTGACTAGGTAGCCCAGGCTGGCCTTAAACTTACAGCAGCCCCGTAGTTCTTTTTTCTTTTTTGGTTTGTATTTTCAGGTGGGAGTTTCACTAAATCACTGAGTTGCCTAGGTGGGGCTTGAACTTATGATCCTCCTGCCTCAACTTCCAGAGTGCTTCCCATATTACATGCATATACCACCATACATGACAGGTACTTTCATTAATAGAATTTTACTGAATAATATATGTTACATAAATAAATCTTTCCCTTATCAAATCACTTTAAAATTGCTTTCAGAGCCAGGCATAGTGGCAAATGCCTGTAATTTCATCACTCTGAAGGCTAAAGCAGGAGGATTGCCAACTTTGAGTCCCATCTAGGCAATTTAGTGACTTAGCGAGACCCTGTGTCAAAATAAAATAATAAGTGGCTGGGAAATGTAGTTCAGTGTGAAGGCCTTGAATTTGGTCTCCCCTTCCCCAAACTGTTTTCAGTATATGCATGGTGAAACAGTTTTTTTTTTGAGACAGCGTCTCACTATGTAGTTTAGTCTGGCCTTGAACTCAGAGATCCTCCTGCCTCAGTCACCTGCTAGGATAACAGGCATGTGCCACCACACCTAGCTTTGAACTAGTTTATCTTAAAATATTTCTTTGTAATATTTTGATATGCCATATATATATGTATATATATATGTATATATATGATGTGTCTTGCCTAAGTAGTACAAGAACTAAAATCAACATTTGACTCCTCATTCAGTAATCTTTTTAGATGATAAAAGAAAATAGATTACTTTCTAGGGTAATGGGATTCCTCTCTCCTTTTCTTTCTCATTTAGTATTTTCACAGGGTATTTTTTTTCAGTTAATTTTTAAAATATGGTTGGGCATGGTGGTGCACGCCTATAATCCCAGCACTTGGGAGGCTGAGGCAGGAGGATCACTACGAGTTTGAGACCAGCCTGAGCTACAAAGCGAGCTCAGGGCCAGCCTGAACTCAAGAGCGAGACCCTGTCTCAAAAAGAAAAAAACAAAAAAACCCAAATTTTTAAAATATGCCAGGTGTGATGGAACACACCTTTAACTATAGCACTCAGGAGGCTGAGGCAGAAAGATTACTTCACGATTGAGGCTAGTCTGAGCTATACAGTGAGCTCAAGACCAGCCTGGACATAGTGAAATCCTGGCTCAAAAAAAACAAACAAAAACATTTTTTTAATATCTGCAAAAAATGCAGATTTGAGTGATATTAATAAATTATGGTGTCAGCCCCTCAGTGAACTAGATTATGTTGCATCAACTGTAAATTGATAGTGATTTTTTTTTTGTCTTTTTGAGTCAGGGTCTTGCTATGCAGTTCAAGCTGGCCTTGAGCTTACTTTGTAGCCCAGGCTAGTCCTGAACTTGCATGGATCCTCCTGCCTCAGCCTCCCAAGTGCTGGGATTACAGGCATGTGCCACCACGCCCGGTATGATAGTGACTTAAACATGGTGATCTGTTTAAAATTTTTAATGTTAGTCTGATTAGTTAGCTGTTTTCTGCTTTTCAGAGATAAATTTCTTTAGTTAAATGACAGTTATACATCCATGATTGTTTTTATGGCCACACTTCATGAAGGTTACTATAATTTAAGGTGTAATAATAATGTTAAAACCTAAGCTAACCTATATTTCACTATTTCATTTTTATTCCTGTTATAGTTTTTTCTTGTATTTTAGGTGATAAGAATACTTCCATAGATGGTTACTTTTTATTTGTTCTGTGGTCTTCTTTCTTACCCTTATTCTGCTTCCCCCTCAGCACTTATAACCGGTTATTCTGCAGTTCCTGTGGGATTCTCATTGGTTTCCATTTGTATTCCACACATGCTGCTTTGGCTGCCCTGAGAGGTCATTTCTGTCTTTACAGTGATAAGATGAGTTGGTGAGTAGACACAGATATTATCAAATATGATTTAGAAGATCTTTATGAAAAGACAAAGTATATGTACCAAAGAAAATGTTAGCTGGGCGTGGTGGTGCATGTCTGTAATCCCAGCACTTAGGAGGCTAAGGCAGGAGAACTGCCAGGAGTTCAAGGCTAGCATGGGCTACATAATGAGTCCAGGCCAGGCTAAACCCTGTCTCAAAAAAAAACCATAAACAAAATTATAAAGAATATGCTAAAGCCAGGTATTCTCTTTTATATGAAAGATAACACTAGACTCAGAATCTGATCTCATAATGTTATATCATTTTCAGTGTCTTCTAATCATACTGTGGTAGTGAGGGTAGTGGTGATAAAGTTGACTCTGGTCACCTCAAGCTGAGAGGCAAGTATGTGGCAATAGGTCACAGTTGGCTTTGAAGTTTGGGTTCTCTTTGTTGTTATTTTGTTTTGCTTTGAACAGTTATGATCCAGGACTTAGGGCTGGGCACAACCTACTACAGACAAATCTGGGTCACATTAGGAAGAAAGGAACTGTTACTGGCTCAGCAACCAACATGATTTGTCACATTACTTTAAACTGTGCCACGGGATCTACTGATGAAGTGAAGCTTATACTCGTCATGATTGAATACTCATATAACCTTGTTTTGGTCTTCATTTTGTGTTGGGATAATCTTGTTTTGGGGAAGGGGTAGCATGAGGCACAGTCTCATATTTATTATGAATTTGTTTTTCTAGTAAAATACATCATGAATCTTAATATAGAATTCAGTAAAAAGGCAAGAGTTGCTTGACAGATGAGTGTTTTAGAGGGTAAGCTTGGTTCACTGAGACTCTTAACTGGGGTAAGGTATCAGTATTTTTCTTTCTCTTCAGCTATCTCCTAAAAACAAAAGCTGTAGTACATGCATCAGAGATGGATATTCATGGTGCGCCTCTACTAGAAAAGATTACAGAGGTAAGGTTCCGGATGCTTCTCTGGCTCCTTTAATAGAGATAATTCTTAGTAATTTTTACAAAAAATTTTGAAGAGGAAATATGATAGATACTGTGATGATCCTTTACATTTGGCTTGATGAACCTTAGAGAGAATTTGTAACACTAAACAAAATATCCAAGCCATATTGTATGGTTCAGGAGAAGGGGAAGCTGCTCAATATAACATTCTTTTGTTTTGTTTTGTTTTTCTTTTTTTGGTTTTCTGGTTTTTTGAGAGAGTCTTGTTGTGCAGTTCAGGCTGGCCTTAAACTCACCAGGTAGCCCAGGCTGGCCTTTAACTCACAGTATTCCTCCTGCCTCAGCCTCCTGAGTGCTGGGATTACAGGAGTATGCCACCACGCCTGGCTAATATAACATTCCTATATTCTTACTTATGCTGGGAATGGACATTATTATCCTGCATAGAGCTGCTGTTTGCATCATCACCACCACCACCACCTTTGGCAGTACTGAGGATTAAACCCAGGGCTGTCACACTGAACTGCAGTTTTTATTTTGAGACAAGGTCTCAGTGAGACACTCAGTTGCCTGGACTGGGCTCAAATTTGCCATCCTCCTGCCTCAGTCTCCCAAGACTGCTGGGATTACAGGTGTGTGTGCCATTTAGCATCTTCTCCTTTTTTGGGATTAGAAATCAAATCCAAGGCCTTCTATATGCTAAGCAAGTGCTCTACCATTGAGCTATATTCCCAGCCCTTTTATATTTTGAGATAGGGTCTTGCCCAGGCTGGTCTAAAACTTGGGATCTTCCATTTTGTTTTGAGACAGAGTCTTAATATATATTCCATGCTGGTCTGGAATTCTCTGTGTAGCCCAGGGTGGCCTTAACCTTGCACTTCTCTTCTTTCAACCTCCTGAGTAGCTGGGGTACATTTGTGTGCCACCGTGCCAGCCTTAGGAGCTGTAATCTTTATTTATTTTTTGTCTTTTTGAGACAGGGTCTTGCTATATAGTCCAGGCTGGCCTTGAGCTCACTTTGTAGCCCAGGCTGGTCTCAAACTCAAAACGATCCTCCTGCCTCAGCCTCCCCAGTGCTGGGATTATAGGCATGCGCCACCACACCTGGCCCCAGGAGCTGTAATCTTTGAAAGTACCTTGTGCTTATATGTCTCAGGAAAGAGTGGAGAAAGAATTACTTTCGTTTGTCTTTTGGTTTTAATGTTGGGATTGAACCCTGGGCCTTACACATGTTAAGCACATATTGTACCACTGAGCTGTGCCACAACCAAGAATTCTTATTTAAATGGGGAAAAAAAAAAATAAATGGGTTTTATGAATGGTTGATTGTGGGGGACGTGGCTGAAGAGTAAGTGGGTACACTGCAGGGCGAAAGCACACCGGCTCTGTGAGGAGTGAATGGTTAAACGAGAAGTTTAGGTTGGTGAAGCATGTTGTGGCTGTTGTCCTTCCTCTTTCCCCAAGGAAAACTGCCTGCTCTTTTTTTGTTGTTGTTTGAAAAGATTTTTTATTCAGTTTTTAAGTAAGATTAAAACCTGTAAGACTTTGCTTGCAGCTGATGAGCAAAAACAGAAAATTAAACATAAATTATCATCTGATTGGCTAGTTAAAATGCTCTAGAAGTCAAATTACTTACTTGCCTGCTCTTTAGACAGCTTCTTCTTAAACTTTTTCTTCTGCGTTTTTCACTTACACTGATATTCTGAATAAAAGCTGAAGAGTCCTCAGCTTCAGGGCTTCTCCTGGGAGTCTTCCCAATGCTGGGTGCTTCTGACTGAGAGCCTCTCTGGGCCTCTCAGTGATTGCGCTAAATCTTGTCTCCAAGTAATCATTCACTGTCTGTGCCACCACAATCACACACTGCTACAGCTGATGCATTCCAGTTGAAGAAAGCAATATTTTTGGTACCTTGTTGATTCACTGTGAGTGAATACTGGCTATACCTTTGCTATTGTTAGAACAACCTTAGGATTCACTGTTGGTTTTGTTTGTGATACTGTTAATACAAATTTAGTAACCAATGGCATTTATGTCAGTTTAATAGTGAGTAATTTAAGGATTACTAGACAGTTGGTCTCAGTCTCACCTTTTCGTATCCCAAACAAAGAATTCAGCAGGACACACAAAAGCAGTAAGAAAGGCAGAGATGTACTGAAGAGAAAGTGTATTCCGTTAGTGGTAGTGGTGTAGCATAGTGCATGCCTGGCAAGCTCAAAGCCCTGAGTTTGATTCCCGGTACCCAAAAAAAAAAAAGTAGTAGTGGCCTACTGAGAAAACTCAAGTTGAGTTTGACTCTGGGTGGCCCCATCCACTTTAGGTTTGAGGTTTTTATTGCAACCATCTGTGGTGTTCCTAACAGAACTCTGTCCAGTTAACTGAGACTTCACACTCACGTTGAGAGGAGTGTTTTTGAGCTTTCATGGGTTATAGCCGAAACAAGCATGGCTGCCAAAGCCCAGCAAGGTGGTCAGAACCGTGTGCTGATGCTTCTGTGCCCATGGGATCACTAAGGTCCAAGCTCATGACACCATGCCAAAAAAAAGAAAGAAAGAAATAGAAAATAACCATTTACAGGTACAAGGGTGCCTGGTAAGAGTAACAGACTAGAATTACCTGTTTCAGCAGTTTCCTAAAGAACTCTTGAGTAATCTTTTTTTTTTTTTTTTTTCTTGAGACATGGTCTCACAATGCATAGTGAACTATGTGGCCCAAAGGTGGGCGTGGTAGTGCATCCCTGTAATCCCAGCACTCGGGAGGCTGAAGCAGGAGGATCATTGTGAGTTCGAGACCAGTCTGGGTTACAAAGTGAGCTCAAGGACAGACTGAACTGTATAGTGAGACCTTGTCTCAAAAACAAAACAAAACAAAACACTATGTGGCCCAAGGCTGGCCTCAACTTCATGGCAGTCCTCCTGCTTCAGCCTCCCAAAGTGCTGGGATTACAGGCATGTGCCACCACACCTGGCTTTGGGTATTCTTGTATCTTGAATTGTAAAAGGGAGATTTAGTCAAACTATGCCAGAAATAGTAATCTAACACATGTAAAAATAGGATTTTTAGTCTGCTCTGATTTCAGCAGACTTATGCTTTCTTTTTTTTGGAGTGGGGGGGTTTAGTTTTTTGG